TTCCGATAGCTTATGTAATCCATGGTCCAAGGTACTCAGGTTTGTCCCAATTCCCTCATTAATGGCCCTAATATATTTGGGTTTTACCTCAAGGTCTGTGATCATTATTGTATGTCCATTTGGGTTCTAAGCTTTGCATAGGAGGTTTGCCTGATATGGGGATAACTTATGGATTGATGATATATTGTAAGAGTATAACAAAGAAAGTAAATTGAAAGCAAAAAGAAAACATGATCAATATCCCCTTCATCTTTAAATATTCTACATTATGGTAAGTCCTTATTAAAGATTAATTATAAGAATAGTGCACAGGATAAGGTGGGGCAGGTTATAGGGATCTTAGAACACATAGCAACAATAATGCCAACAAAAGATAGCTGGTGTCTAGATCTTGTCTCTGGGGGAAGTCAAGACTCTGTGGAGCAGAGAGCTTTTGAGTAGTTGGGGAAAGAGTCTGTTAGTATGTTTTTACTATCTTGTGGTCTTTTACAATGTCAGGTTAGGATTGAGATTAAGGTTAGGGGAGTTATTTGGGTGTCTGACATGACTGAGAGTCCTGTAGTCTTATGATTTAGGTTAATGAACATAAAGGACCAGACTTCTAGTGGACTAGGTCACAGGGAATGGGGTTCCCACTTCATGGATGATGGAGGTGACCAAGTGTTGGTGAGGGAGTGTAGTCTATACCTGCCGTCTACCTAGATGTTGTGGAAGGGAGGAATGAAGCTATAAACAACTCAGAGGCAGGATGCTTATCAAAGTGGCTTTGTGTGCTGACAAGGGGCTAGTTAACAAGGGACAGCTGGTGAATAGTTATGGTCATCCATTATGTCAGCCAGGAGAGGGTTCTGGGCCCTGAGGTTTTCAGTCTTGTCTAACATCCAAGCTCCCTGCCTTTCTTTGTAAAACCAGTGTTGCAATTTCTACTTGTATTGTTATGCTAATACCTCCCTAATAGGTCAGGAATGTTTTATCTACTACCCAAAGAAGCTTTTTTTAAAAAAAAGATAAAAGCCTGTGAACAGCTGTCCTTTTGGTGCTTCTTGGTTGTTTGTAGAAGGGTGGGTGGGAGCAGTACCTCAGGAAGGGCGATCACTTTGGCCTAGTGGGTCTGGAGCTCTTCCTGCTTATGTTTAGAGTTAGTCTATTCACTCTATGCCTGTTCCAGGCTGTCCTATATACTTATCCCCATGTGGCTCAGTAGGCTTCGTTAACCCTGCTATTGGGGAGATAGAGCTGCCAGGATATCAGACTGGTGCACCCTTGGTTTGGGCTGAGAACCAAGCTTATTTTTGCCTATTTCCACCGCAGACTGGTTCTATAACGCTGCATCCCTGCAGCTGTTTGGCCTGTCATCCACCCTAGCTAGGTACTGAACAGGGGAAAATTGGTCTAGATTGTTGGTTAGCTGTGCTCTCCTGGCTAATTGCAAGGGTGGATAGCAATGGGGAGTCTATCAGTAGGCGTTGCTGCACTATATTTTAATAAATTGGTGTCTATTTACCTGTAGGCTAAACATCTTGAGGTCTGGAAGTGTAAGATATCTCTCTCTGTGGCTCTCTGAGCTGGTCACTGCATGTTCCCTCCTATAGGTGCTACTCGGTGGTCCTCTTTCTCCACCTCTGCTTTGCCTCTCAGTTTTGTGGAAGGAGTTCTCCAGTTTCCCATGGTGGTTCTTGGTGGGTTTAAACACTCCATTTTTCTGTTCATAGTTCTGTTAAAACACCTTGTGCCATCCTGGGGTTTATGTGGAAAAAACAGTATAGAATATATTCTGGTGACCTAGAATTATGATGACATGCATGCGGCATTGAAATCATGTTTGCTCATTTGCTTTTATGCCAGCAAAATTTTTTATTCTATTTAACTTGTATCTAAAGGATACATCCTTATTTTTTTTAGACCTAACTGTGTGTGTCCATCATGGTCCAATTTTCAGGGGATGTGAAATAGTTTTTCTGCATTATAAACCTGGTGATACAACAGTTAAGCTTTGCCTACTACCCAAATTGTTCGTGGTAATAACCTACATTGGTTCCAACCGAAGAGGTTCTCTTGATCTGCTTCCTCTGGTGTTGTGCTCCTTTAGTGTATAGGGTCATTATGAGTTAGGATCACTTTGACCCTTCTGAGGCAGAATCCTTCAAGAAAATTAAATACATGTTATCCAATATTAGTACTACCTAAGGTAATATGATTCCTTCATACAACTCAATCGAACTCTTACGAATGATTCCCTTGTTACAGATTCTACACTCTGTGTGTAGCATGAGCTGTGACCCAGGATTCATGTAAATCTGTCAGAAAGGGAAGCAAATTTGCTGATTTGAGTGTATTTTGTTCCCAGAGAGGAAAATGTCTAATCAAACATGTACAAACTGAAAAAATGCAAAAATGAGCTACACTTACATCATATCAAGCTCCAGGAGTCCCTGGGTGGCTCAGCTATGTCCTACTGCTCTCCCTCCTCCTCTGCATCCTCTGACCCTTACTCTTCATTGGCCATCTCAACACAACCACCTGCATCCTTAGACAAATTACCTTCTTTGTTGTGTCCACTGTGGCTGTTTCCACTCTTTTGGCCCAAACCTTGACTGTGATTGTGTTAGACAGAATTCTCTAGAGAAACAAAACCTGGACACTTTTGATTTTATATATATATACAGCTTGAAGGAATGTAATAGCTAATTAGTCCGCACAGCAGTATAGAAGGCTCAGTTTAACTCACTTCCATAAAACAATTAATATACTGTTAGTCCTTCCGCTCATGAAGGCTGCTGGGTCCAAGGTCAAGAAAGCTGACAGCTGAGTCTTCTGTAGGGAAATGCAGGCATTCCAGCCACAGACAGCAAACAGGAGGGTGGATCAACAATACTCAGCCAGACTATAGGATCTGATAATCCCAAGCTCAATCGATGTATACACCAGCAGAGTGGCGAAGCTGTTCTCAAAGGAACCTCAAGCTCCAGCAACATGATCCAAGGGTTGGGTGTCCCACAGATAGTGCAGCTCACAAGTTGAAGCAGCACACTAGTTAAGGCAGCTGCAAGCTGCTCCGATCACCAGAGAGCAAGAGAGATAGAGGTGGGGCTTACTGAGCCACTTATCTCTGTGCCCTCCAACCAAAGTCTGACCCTATTCATCCCACATGTTCTTATTGGCCAGGTTGGCACAATAAACCTACCTATTATGGTGATTCTCACATTCAAGGTATTGAAACCTGGAAGAACCAGGGTAGCTAACGTGGTTCCCTGTGGTTCCCATCTTTCCCCTCATCCAAGTGATTATCTGTGGGTTCTGGCTGGGAACATTGTTACCCTTTTGTGAACATAGACACACATTCAGAGTCCAGGAAATTCATCATTGTATGTGAAAAGGGTTCAGTCCCTACTTTCTACAGTGTTTTGGGATACCTGGGCTCCTTGGCCATGTGGATATTTTCCTTGGCTTACCTGGCCCAGAACCTGCTTGAGGCCTTCAATGAGGCCAAGTTCCTGGTAGTCAGCATGCTGGTTTCCTCAAGTGTCTGGGCCACCTTCCTTCTAGGGGAGGTCATGGTTTTGTGGATATCTTCTCCATCTTGGCCCCCAGCGTGGGGCATCTAGGCTGAATCTTTGCACAAAAGTGCTATATTATCTTCCTAAGGCCAGCTAGAAACACATCAAATGGGTTAAGGTAAAAAATATGCTTGGGAAGAAAGTGATCAACATGTTCATACCTTTCCTAATGATGTCTCTCCTTTATTTCCACCTGTTCTTAGAAAAGGCTCCACTGGAGAACATGTCTCCCTGAATGAGAACAGAAGTGGTGTGTCAGGATTTGAGATTCTGAACTATCTGAAATATCGTGTTTTACTTGACCTTCACATGGAAGTTGGAGAGTTCATCACCCAGGGTCTTTGTGGTCAAGGTTGGATGATCCAGGAGGACATGATAGAATGGGCTTTCAGTTTCAAGGAGTAGGAAAAATTATTCATATAGCCCAAAGCAGAGAAAAGATATGAGAATAATAGTGTAACCACTTAAACAATTACAGAAACTGTACTGATCATCTATTCTATATTTTCTTATCTACTGTCTAAGTGATGTTAAGGGACACTTTTAATAAGGTGGTTTTATGTGTTACAGAGTAGAATTGGTCCATAGATTTTTTTGGCTGTAATCTCTACAGTAGCAGGCAGTCAGGATTCCTTTTCTGGTATCAGCAACTGTGTTAGGGTTGTTTTGACATTAGATGAATGCATGGAGGTCGCCATACTTCAGAATCAACTTGAAACATTTCTATTCTAATTGCATACCACACGAACACAGTGAGGGTAAAGATTCAGTCGTTTGAACTGATTTCAAAATTCAGTTAAGTTATTGCTCATTTATGTTTACAGAATATTCATTGCATGGGCTTGAACGCTTATTGTTTGACATGCACCACATCCAATATCAATCAAAATCACACCAAACCCCAAACCGACAATTTTGATGTATGTCTATTCTACAGGGTTCCATAGTGTTTCCTGGGCTGAAATTTATATATTTTTTAGCAGATTTATTAGTACTTAACCACACATCATATAATTCAACAATTCAATCATATCTAGAAGGGTTGTAAAATAATTATCACAATCAATTAGAAAATGTTTTTGCTTCCTGTATTCTTTGTTATTCATGTAATTATAATTTAATTGTGGAAAAATATACACAAGACAACATTCTCCAATTCAACAACTTTTATGTGAATAATTCAATGCCATCGATTATATTCTTTGTGTTGAATGACCATTATTGATATCCTCTTCCAAATTATTCCATGACCATTAACATAAACTCAATGCCCCCAAAACAAAAACTCTTCCTTTTTCATGCACGGTAACACTGGACAAGTTTGGTTTCTTTTCTTTTTTAAAACAAATATTTTCTTGAAATAATATTTGCTTATGATACTATTTCATGGTTACATCACATTTTTAAAAGAGTTGTATATGCATCACCAGTGAGGTCTAATGCTCTCTCCCCCCTCCTATGTTCAATATTTGCTCCCCATATCCCCTCAGCCTCCCGACACAGCAGCCCCACAAGGTAAACCATTGCATCAGTTCTTGTCTCCGTGAAACTACATCAGTGGATCACAGATAAAAATGAAATAAAGAGTAAGAAAGAAGAGACAATACTTAAACAATATTTAAAGAGCTAGAGAAGAAATTTGTATTGTGGAACAAAGTAAAATATTTGAGCTTAGAACAAATTCAGGTTGGGCCAAAGGCAGATCAACTGACCAAGTATTGTGTTATACCCTGGTTTGATCCACCATAATTGAGTGTATAACTGTCTCTGTCTGGCAGTAAATCTGTCTGAGTCCCTCCCCTGTGGCTTGCCGGAGGCTTCAGCAGACTAGAGAGTCTGCTGTTGGATTTGGGGGGGCTCCCACTGTACTCCATAGCCTTTCACAAATTGGGTGGTCACAGTTTCAGCTCTGTTACTTTTCCCTCCAACATACTTGGATTTTGTTCTTGTCATTTTGCATCACACCATATGGAAACATATGGACACATCATATGGACTTAGTTGATGCCTCACTTAGATGATTCTGTTTGAATACTCCCCTGTGCCATGGGGCCCAGCATTGCACACATGCACCATGGCTCCTCCTCCCCTCTTGCCCAGGCCCAGCATTTCTTGCAAGTGCAGATCCTTGCCTCTCACATTAAAATCTGTCATTCAGAACGAACCTATAGGACATGAAAGGCCTGACACAAAGACTTCCAAGGCTCTAATCTTAATAGAAGTAGAAGCCACATCTTTCCCTGGGGAACAAGTGGGTGGTTTCTAATCACCAAACTTTGGGTCAACAGTTGTGTTCTTAGATGCCAAGTCACCAGGACCCCTTCCTTCAGGACTACGGTCACTCTAACTCCTCAATGTGAGGCAATCCACAATTCCAACTCTCACCACTGACCATGGAGGGCTCTGAGTCAATGACAGCCAGCACAGGGGCCCCTACTGGAAACCAGATTTGTGTGGGCTGTTGACTGAGTCCTTGTCCTCTGAGACCTGCAGCTCTGGGGCAAGGACCTGTGGGAGACTAGAATTCAGAGTTGTAGCTGGACCCGAGAGCATCTGGGAGAATGCAGGTGGGATGGAGGATGCCCTGACCCCTCATCATGTTGCCTCAATGGAGCCAAGGTTGGTTAAGGGCTAATGATCAGAGTCTGGTTAGCTTTCGGTGTCAGATGGAGAGTAGTTGCTTCTGATGTTTACTCTCTGAATTCTGCCTACTGAAGACAGCTTTGTTTTCTTCTTGTTCAAAGTCATCTGACACCATATGTACTGAATGCTTGTGCCCTATAGGCTTCTCAGTGCAGAGTTTTTTTAAAGAAAGGATTTTCCAGGCATTTCTTTGCAGGCACCTCTGTGTGTATTTGAACTGCCACCCTTCTGATTAGTGGCTGAGCATTTACCATTTGTACCACCTAGAAACTCCAAGGAAGATGCACTAGAGGTAAATCCATTTGGATATAGATGATTATCTTCTGTCAGTTGCCAAACTGAGAGGAAATACAATACTGAATGTTCATTTCTTGTGTTGATTACTAAGTCATTCGTTCAGACATTGATCAATAGAGTTGATGGCAGGGCTGAAAAAGGGTTAGTAGCGTGTTTGTGGGCCACTCCAGGCATTGGCAGCTATTTCCTTGGCGTCTGCAGGACCCTGTCCCTTGAGCACTAGGAGGAATCCTGAGGGGACCATGTGACGGTCTGCCCCACAGACTCTCCTGATAGTACAGCTCCTTCCAAAAAACACCATTGCAACCAGGGTGGATGAATTCACCACCTGTATGAGGTGCGTCCTCGAAACTTTCTCTCCATCATGCCTGATTGGATTCTTGGGGCCATTAGTGGAATAAGGTGCCCACATATGTCTTTCTTTTGTAACATAATTTTATTTGTGGTTGTTGAGAACACACAGAAAAACACACTTTACTTCAGGAGCTTCTCTACACAGAAGTCAGTGAGCCTGGTGGATGATACACTTTGAGTTAAGAGACTGTCCTAAACCATTTCCCAAGATGATCCTCCCCCATTCACATGAACTCACTGTCCCTCAAGTTTCCTGTCAAAACATCCCCAGAGCTGCTCTCCATAGTTTTATTCCATAGAGATTCTTCAAAGAGCACCACACTCAAGGCAACATGCATTTCTAATTAACCTGAACTCTTGAGAGCTTGTTTTTCAACCATGTTTTTACACAGTGGCCAGGTCTCAGATGTGGAGCCTCAGGGCAAGATGGGGCCCAGGTGTTCTGTCCCTCAGAAGTGACTATTTGGGACTGGAAAGAGGGGGTGAGAGAAAGAGCAAGACACAGCACATGGGGTCACAGAGGCACTGAGGGGAGACGAATATATATCTGGAGCTCTTTGCATCCAGCACTGCCCTCCTGCTGAGCAACTGCCAGTCTTGTGTCCTTGGCTGAGGGAGAGAGCGATCTCATCAGTGTCCTGCACAGCTACAGAATTTCCCTGCAGAAGGCTGCTGTGTTCAGTCTCCACTTCTTCTCCCCATTCACCAGGGACTCAGGGCTCTGCCTCAGGCTGGTGAGTTGTGGCTGGGATGCCCTCTCTGCTCTTTTTGTTTCTGTTCTGCCAGCTTCCTCCTCAGGAAGCCAGCATAAACCATTATGATGCATGCCTTGAATACATGCAACCCAGTGTCTACAGGGATGGGGATCTGGTGGTTGGGGGCTGTTTCCCTCTCTACACGCTGACACACAACCCAGAAGCACAGTGGAAATTTTTCGTGACCAGTCCAAGACAAAATGTGACATTTGACCTGTAAGTCTTTGTGTGTCTATGTGTGAATGGGGACATGAAAGCTGCATTGAGATTCTACTTGATGTTTGATTCATAAGTTCTTCACTTTCCTTGCTTGGGTAACTTTGAGTCTGCTCTGGCCTCTGGTGAACTTATGTGCAGCAGAATGGAATGCAGGGGCACCTGCATCACATTCTTGGTCCGGGGTAGCATTCTGCCATTGCTGCAGCCACTCTCTCTACCTGTCTCCTGGAGGATGGCCCTCATTTTCACTGATGCCCCACTTCACCAAACCTGATGTTCTATTTTTACTCTAGTCACCATTTTGAATCTTTTTCCCC